AGAATTCAATTTCCCAAGAGGCAACAAAACAAAAATGTTTTGTTTACTCTGTTTATCTAGCTCTGATACCCCTGAGCATGTTTTTCTTGTGTTTGTTTATCCAGTGATATAATTTTGGGGCATCTAAATGAATACACCAATAGAACCAATAGGAAATCTTGCCCGAGTATAACGTCCCTGTTGGCTGATCGTGGTAGAAATATTAGAATTGGCTGTAGCATTAGAGATACAAGTCGTATTGATAGGATCGAACTGTAAACATTGCGAGGATTTCCCACGGCACGAAGCTTGGATTTCTCCACCGTCGCTCTCAACACTTAATAATCTCGATCCTTGAAGATTCTCTTCAATTTATCTTTGAGCTCTTCAAGATGAACAGAGGCCTTTTTGAACTTGATCAATTGTCGGTAGCGAGCTTTACAAACTGACAACTCGCTAGTCGCTGAATAGCAGCTCACATTCACAACCAGACAGGAACTAATATTCGCCGGAAAATCAAAAGAACTTTTTCCAAAAATAAATTTTTTTTTTTTGTCTCAACTGAAGTGGAACAAATAAAACAACGATCACTTTGCGAAGTGGGACGCTATATCGAAGGCGTTCGTCGAGGGTAAGAGTAAACAGTAATATTGGTCAGCGGGGAAATTATGAAACCCGCGAAACCCCGCGAAAGGATGGCATTTAAAAACTGAAGACAGTTTTTGACCAAGACACTAGAATGCGTAATCGTGGCGGCTACTCTATGAATTTGAATATATGAAAATCATCTATGTGTACTCCGGTTTCATGAAATGTATGAAAGCGTCCCTCGCAGTAATAAACCCTACTTATCCAGTAGCGACTGACCCTGTTCTGCCAACAGAGGAGCGAACACGATAGGCATGCAATGCCTACTTTCAGTGCTTATAACAAGTGTAAAATTGTAAAGTCGTACGTGAAAAAAGCCGTTCCTTCAATTTGAAACGGCAGCCACTTTGAGAATGACATATGCCTGCCATTATATTTGTAGTGAGGTCGCTTACGCCAAAACGGGCTGGCTTTCTCTATCACGGCCTCGCATCGAGCCGGTGCACTTAAAACAGAAGGATGGGTACAACTGTGGAATTCACATTTTTCTCGTAAGTAGCTAACTCACTATACACCCACACGCGACATTTAGTTTTTAACTTTAATATAGAGGTCACTATTCTCATTAAATCATGAGGTGTTAAGGTACGAAATATTTACCCTCACATGGTAATTAGCATTACAGTTCGACAGGCTAACCGCTGGAAGAAGTGCATTCGATCAAATATACCTTAATAACCGATGGTTTCTGCCTCAAAAGGAATTTAACGGAGTATACGATATTACACATTTCGGGTTTAAACTTTTCGTGGGGAACAAGTGCAACTGCTTACATGACGTATTTCAAATTTAACCGCTGTGCTATAAACTTGTGTGTTCGACCCTCGACGAACGCCTTCGATATAGCGTCACCCCTTTGCAAAACCTTCTTCAGCGTTTCCTTCAACAAGAAACTACGATGAAATGCAGAATTGGAAAACGCGGGAATAATTTGTGCTCTGATTGGTCACATAAGAAACAATCTCAGTGATCTGATTGGTGCAAAGACAACAAAGGGAAAGGAATGTTGTTCGAATGTGAGCAGCCGTTTGTGGGGAGGAGCGTTGTGTGACGAGACTAAAAACGGCTGCCAGGGAGACTAGTGGGCACTGTGCCCGCTGCAGAGTGTCAACCAGCTCTTCGCATCTAATGGACCGTGTGCTTAAGGCAACACCAGTTGAGAAAAAAAGAAGAACGCTAAATAGAAGCTGGTTATTATATATCTCCCGGGGGAGGGAGCGGTACATTTTGCTTTTTCCGCGAAAAATTTACCCGATCCCTCATAAAACTCTACAATATTCCTCTTCCCCTCCCCCCTCCCCTTTTATTGACAGCTAATAGGCAATCAGTTTTCTATGATCCTCCCTTTATACTCTGTTACCGATAACTGATTCCTCTCGGTTGTCCCCCTTTAAAACCACGTAATCCCCCAAAATCAAAGAAAAATAACGAAGTTTAACTAAAAACCCTGCCACATCCCAAAACAGGGGAACCGAAACCATCCTATTACTGGAAACTTTTTCCATACTGTGGTATCAGTTTGTTCCAGCTTTTTCACCTACATGAAACTTTCCTCCCAACGTAGCTCTTTGACCTTTCCTGACCCTTAGGGGATCCGGGGAGAGGCTCAGAGAATCCCCACCCTCACGGGAAAGTTGTCTTCTATCATGCAAGATAAAAATTGGGTGAGATAAAGAAAATATACCAAATCGATGCTTTGCAGCTATTGAAACCTCCATATATGCAGTGGGCGAATTACAACTGTAGGAATAAGGTTGTTCTGCTGTACGAAATGACGAGAGAAAGAAATAGGAAAAAGTCAATCAGAAAGACAGTTTTTCAATGTACTGAAATTCATTACAGGGAAATTCCACCGCGGAAAAGGGAAAAATTTCTCCCACATGATTTAATTTAACAATAAAAAAATAACTAAATATCGTGTAAACATTAAAATTTGTCAGAAAATCGTGCAATTTCCCGCACAAAGCAATCATGGCCAAGGTTAATATGTGTACGCAGGCCCACAACTGTCACGGCAAAAGAAATAACCTCGCACCACATGCAAAAGAATAATACTGACGACGAAAGGAAGAACCTCAAGGCAAAAGAAATAACTCGTCTCAGCCCCAACTTTCTCTTTTATGTTGTGAGGACATTGTTATTTCTTTTGCCGTGAGTCTTTTTCTTTTTGCCGCGAGGTTATTTCTTTTGCCGTGACAGTTTTTGGGCCACCGTAAAATATGAAATGGCTGAAATTTCAAGATTAATACCTTGTTATAAAATAACTAAAAGGACTGAGCACGTGATTCTTTTTTTTTTTTTTTTTTAAAAAGCCTTATTTTTGAAATCTAAGAGCGGAATTGTGGGCCAACATTCCTTTGTGATTGACGCCAGTCATAAGCTCTAGCCTAACTAGTGTCGACCAATG